CTGCAGGCTGGGTGTTGGGGTGTGGGTGGGAGCGTAGGGTTGGGCAGGAGTTGGGTGCTGGAGGGGGCGGTGGCCGGGGGCATTTACCTCAGGCAGCTCCCAGGGGGTAGCACAGCAGGGCTGAGGCAGCCCTGGCCCCATGCCTCTCCGGCAAGTGGCCGGCACATCCCTGAAGGGCCGGGGGGCATGTGGCTCCCTGCGGTGGCCGTGTGCTGCCCTCGCCCGCAAGCAGCACCCCCACGGCTCTCACTCGCCCTGCTCCACCCTGGCCAACGGGAGCTGAGGGGGCCGCGCCTGCAGGTGAGGACAGTGTGCAGTGCCTCCCTGATCCCCAAGAGCCAGCGCTCACAGCTCCAGCCCAGGGGCGGGGGGCAAGGCTCAGGGCTTCCACCGCTGGAGATTCCCCGCCCCTGCGCCACCGAGCCCACACCAGGGGTGTAGAGCAGGATCGTTTAAAAGGGGCAACTTTTACGTGTAGACGAACCCCGAGTCCTCTTGCCCTGGCCAGAAGGGAGGCCGGGGCGCTGAGCGGTGGCAGGAAGGGGTTAAGGCAAAGGAGCAGGGGGCGGAGTCTGGCGCTTGAGCCTGTTCCTGGGCCTTGACACTTTTGGCAACAGAGCCGGCTATTGTGGGGCCGCTTGCAGATGCTCCGATTTAGGTCAAATTGGTCGGGGAGGGGGGTTGTAATTATGTGGCATGTGCCTGGGAGCAGCAGCCTAGTCTGGGCGGGCGGAGAAGTGGGGGCCGTAGTCCAGGGAGGAGCCCGGAGGAATTGAGGCAGCCTCCATAGTCATAACCTGGGGTGATAGTCTGCCTCCTCCCCCACCCGGGGAACCACAAAAAGACGTGTCAGGCAAGGCTGCTGGCAGTGGCTCCCTCCCAACCCAATGGGCCTTTCACACTCACCTTTGTACAGGTGCAATCCAATAAAGGAGAGTCTGGAGGAACAAGGGGTAGGATGGTCCCCATCAAAACCAGATGTAGCTGAGATCTGGGTCCCAAACCAGGGATGGACACACAGGGTATGTCTAGACTACAGGCTTTTGTCGACTGAGGCTTTGTCAACCATACCGTCAACAAAGCCTGTGTCGAAAAAGCATCTAGACTACAACCAGTTCTGTCAAAAAAGCAAGCCGCTTTTTCGACAGAGAGTGTAGATGCTCTTTTTTGAAAAAGCACAGTGTGGTTCAATAGCGCCCAAGGCCTTATTCCTCGTAGAATCAGGTTTACCGCCGTCGACAGAACTGCCGCGTTCGGTCGACTTACTGTCGACTGAACGCGGCGGTAGTGTAGACGCAGGTTTAGTTTTGTTGACAAAAGTCCACTTTTGTCGACAAAACTCTGTAGTCTAGACACCCCCCTCCATT